TAGTGTGTGTGTGTGTGTGTGTGTGTGTGTGTGTGTGTGTGTGTGTGTATCAATACATGTGTGTGTGTGTGTGTGTTTTATTCTCATGTATATGTATATGTTTATATATTTACACATAGACACATATATATATATTATATATATATATATATGTGTGTGTGTGTGTGTGCGTGTGTGTCTGTGTGTGTTTGTGTATGTAAATATATATACATATACATATACATGAAAATTTCAAAACCCACACACGCACACACACATGTATGTATTTGTATATATATATATGTATAGTCATAAATTGATTTGCAATGGGAATTTACTATTCAAAAACAGGATGTTCGCGAGGGATGGATCCTGTGGTCAGGTCGACTGCCCAAGTGGTCTGTTCTGTATGGCCTCTTCGGTTTGATGGTCGACATAAACGTGCCAGCAAATCATCCTCCATTGGATATTGTCTTGCCCTACACTGTCGACGTGGTATGTTGTCAACTGTAAGATTCGCGGGAATATAGTGATATTACTTAAATGCGTGGTTGAGTTTCCCTACATTAGTCGTATAAATTATAGTACTCGTTGACTTTTATGTAAAATGCTTGTAATATGTGATACAGCAATTCTTGAAACCCTGGCCGAGTTGCCATCTTGTAGATATTATTTATGATTGCAAACAAACGTAGTAAGTGTAGCCGCGGTGTCGTAGTACGGATATGTACCGCGAATTAACACCATATCTCCCGGCCTAAACTGACAAACTTGTGCTTCGAAATGCAAGTGAGTCCGGGAGGATTGTTGAACCTGTCAGCAATGGTTGTCTCCGTTGACTACTTGCACATTACCGGCGATGATAGATTGTCTGGTTTATTGAGCTCACTCCTATTCAAGAGATAGGCACTGATCTGACGTGCACTTATCTTCACAAACAGGTGTGCACATGCAAGACTGACAATAGACAATATATCACATACTATTACATCTTCATGCTTGTATGCCTTTATCGCACCATAGTACGCCGCTGAGGAGGAGCACCAGCTCTTGCGGCTTGTGCGGCGGATTGGACACAAGCAAGTGCGATTTCATTGCGATTCTACTGACAGTAGACGGCGGTCTTTAAATGTGCCAGAGAGAGCCACGCAGCCAGAATCAGGGGTAAATGTCAATGGCAGTTTACTTGAGGTCAACGGTAGCTATACCGGGCCCAATAGTATTCTTATTAGGAATACAAATGCAAGCGATGCTTCCGAACTGGAGAGACTGCCGAATAACGCGAAACAGCGTGTGTTGTGCACATCCGCTGATGTATTTGCGAAATCTGAGCTGTCGTGCTATAATTGCCGAAATAGAATGGCTGATTTCAAGGTATGTTTAGCGCGGTGTGGTACAACCCATTGTGAATGAAAAGCGAATTCTCGGAGACTGTCATGCTTTCATTGTGTTCGCTTGTATGCTTCTTTTATATGTAATTGTTTAATAGCAGCAGTGTCCATGGTAGGTTCTGGATATTTTGTGTGAGCATATCAATCGGATTGGTTGCAAGCTGCAATGCATATGAGATCGCGTTATGGTACACTATTTGGGCAGCTATTCCTAGGGCAGAAAACGAAGTCTCTACCTTGACTATTTGAAAGGTGTACAGACTGCTGCTTACATACTCTATAAAAGTGATGCCTCGGGTAAAATAAATTAAAAAATCAATATTCTGTCTGCTACATTTCACCCAGGTTTTCGAGGTCCGGGTTAATTACACAGTCTCGGTGGACCGTGTTAAAGACATTGAAATGCTGCACGGTTTACTGCTGGCCAATTCTTTCACGTACAAATTTACGTACAGGTACGTGACACTACCAATGAACACCTACAATCCTCCTGAGCTTCGAGCTCGAGCTGCTTTAATCTTTTCTACTTATATGAACCATCTAGACTTTGACGCTCTATGCACGTCTCGGCTTCTACGCACAATCCGCCTGTGGTAATGTCGCACACTGTATTTCCGACTGTCTCACTTTCGTATGCGTTCTGCTCCACTTACACCGAATTTATGCTTTCCCCAATATCCATACGTATTTGCGCAGCCGACTTCTGTATCGTACCACCGAGATTGTCATCCGCGCTGTGATGTTGGTGGTGACATTCGCGATGTTGGTCATTTACATCCATCAGCTAATTGCCAGTCCGCCCAGGTTCTTCGAATCTCTCCCGGAACAAGTACGTGTGTATGCACCACAAATCTACGTAGCAGTCGTATGCTGACATGTGCGCCGCTTGTCTGGACCATCAGATCAGTTTCGAATTGTCTGATGTTGCACTCTTTAACTTCTATTGGTAGTGAACTATGCCATGGGATGCTATATACCGCTAAGAGGATCTCCATAATCTGCTAGTTAGCTCTGCTCCAATTTACACTCTACATTTTGTTGAAAGCATAAACGTGTTAGTAGAAACGTAATACATTCTCTATCAGGTGAATCAATTGATGGGTTACAAATTCGTTTTTCAACAAACCCAGCAATCTGCCTATCGAACATCATACTTTGAAAGGAGTCTGCGTGAAATTTTTCTCAACTCATACATGGCTATGTATCTCACACCTTGGCACGAACTTGATATTCGTATATTTTATACAATACAGCGCTATGTGATCAGTCTTTTGGTGGCCACGGTGATGTACCAGAATCCCTTGTCCATCCCTATCTTAGTAACTGGTGAGTTTATGCCAGAAACACTCACTTCGCGACTTCTGTGGCGGAGGATCTGTATTTCGATGTATTTGTGTCTATGTTAAATATGTATATGTGTGCTCTGTTACGTGCATCTGTATGGCTACCAAATTAATGTGCAATATAAACCTCTCGCGTGGCATTGCCTATTCCGGTCACTCCTTGAGCACCTTACACTTTGTTTGCCATACATTTGTGTCAGTGTTAAATATATATGTGTGTGCTCAGTTAGGCTATCTGTATGACTACCAAGGTATTTTGCAATATGAATCTCTCGCGTGGCATTGCCTTTTCGGGTCGCTCCTTTGATGCCTCACACTTTGTGTTGTTGTAAATTTGCTTGTTAAGAATATATTTCTTAGAAACATCCCGCCGTGCATTTCGCAATCACTTTTTAGAACTCGGTGTTGCCTTATCATACGCATATTGAGCAGGCAATGATGCTGCCTGAAACATATTAATCATCGATGGTCATGGATGCGATTTTTCTTGATTAACCGTTTCAACACTTTTGACTGTGTAGGCAACTACACCTGTTTCTTGGTAGGGGAGATGTTGACCGTTACTGCGATTGCCATCCTCATGGCAACATATCTCTTCATCTTCGACTGTATACATCTACTGAGGTAAAGCTGCCAGGTCTTTTGCGTTGTTTTTTTCAAATAGATGCATATCCCAGGATATCTATGTTTGGCTTCCCATAGCCCTCTTTTATTGAAATGTCTCGTGGCGGCATTGAACCAGAGAGTTCGCATATGCATAAAATGATTATAACAATGTGAGTGCAAAATCCTAGGTATACTCCACGATGTGGCATTATGCCTCTAACCAGAAAGTCACTTAACGGTGATTGACCGCACAGATTAACTTGCTATACGTCTGCTCTTGCAGGGACGACGACCGTAGTGTGGTGTTCTATATGCCGAAGCTAGTGTTCGCTTGTTCGTACTGGGTTACAGGAATGTTATTGCTGTATCTGCGAATATTCAACTACGACCAGGTGAGTATTTTTGTCGTACGAATTCATACTGCCAGCTCCATTTGACGGTTCCAAGAGGCTCTGTCAATCAGTTTGGAAAGGCTATGTGGTACCTATATGTAAGCGCGCTGATTATTACTGACGGGGTTAATCGATCAGGCGAGCTCAAGTGCACCAATGTACAGTATCGTTGCCGTAGTCTTCGCTATTGCTATTTCTCGCAGTGTGTATCTACCTGTCCAGGATACAAAACTTACAGAAGAACGGTATTTAGGGTCAGCAACTTCAAATTTCAATTTTTAACTCATCGACGAAGTGCTCGATTTTAGTTTTTGAATCTTTACTATTATTGTATCACACTACACAGGATGTGCAAGAATTCGATGTCGACTCCTTAGTGATGGAGTTTGTAATCGCCATGGAGTATTGCAAGGTGTGTGATGGTTGGCGACATAGCGCACCTCCATATGCAGGTCAACACCCTGCACAAGACCCTGTCATGCAACACATGGGCTGTAGCTGCCTGATCGTCTCGTAGTGTCACTTGGGTACATTGCTGTACTCCCACACCACGTCCAGAATCTTCCATCGTTTCCTAATCTGAATTATATCCCGCAAAACTCACTGCAGATCGTGATGAAGGTTGTGTGGACTGTCTGGATGTTTGCGATCATTGTCAACACACGTTCGTATTTAGAACCCATGCCTTATCTGCGCACGAGGTTCCGTCAGCTGCCCTTCCGGTACTTCATTCTTCAAGGTATGAGATCGAGCAGAAGACCTGTGCATTCAACTCTCATGTGAATATTGGTTCGGGGGATTTGAGTAGGTCAGCAGTGTTCGGCTGATAATACAGAGGTCTCGACCTATCAAACGATTACTCGTAGCAAGCATTTTCATCAATTGTTGAGATATCTGCCTCAATGTAACGTATGTTTCTGGTAGCGCCTGTGCCTGTGTGTGTACGATAGAAAGCGTTTGTGAGACTTTACACAGCTGTGAACACGTAGTGATGAATGTGTTGGACCTAGATATAGGTGCTTATCACAAGCTACTTCTCTTTTCTTGGATTCTCAGGTTGGTGTGTGATGATATTTTTCATCGTGATCATCATCAGAGGTCTGATTGCGAAGTCCTTGTTCGACGTTTCCAAAACGGCACCTTTGCTGGGTAAGTTACAAAGTATTATGGAACGAGGTGATATCATCGAATAGCGTTACGTTACTCTATATGCTGCATGAATTGTACCGGTACATGTGTGTCAATAGTCTGTATATTCCGCTGGCGTCTACTGTTTGCCTCAGCACAGGGCCATCCAAGCGCTCTCTATTGTGTAATAATCTGGTATGAATTACACATGTCTGCGGTATAGTTTGTATGTACCGCTTTTCAACCCCTAAACCTTAAACACGAAAGTGAAATTTAAGCTTAATCGTCATACACGTAGTGTCTTCAGTGTATGCGTAAACCACGTTCCTACAGTTCCAACCCTTTCACAGTGGTTTTCGAGAATGTCTCGTTGTTTCCCAAGTATCAACGTACGATATGCGCTGTGATATATATGGATCGAGGTAGGCTGGTATCAGTCGCCGGTATATTGCGTTTACAAAGTCATATTATTTCTTTAACAAAGTATAGTCTGAACACAAAACCGGTCGCTACAGGCTGTTGCGACGTGATCTGACCTAAAAGCAAGCCCAGTTCAGACCACCTACTCCTATGTATTCATCTTTATACGTATCCGTTCTCTTACACATACAGGCGTGGTATTTATCATTACTGTCTACAATATTCTGCTGGCTCTAATCTATTTGCCGCCGAAGCGCTACCCTCTGCTGTGCTGTTGTAGGCGGAAGTCCGAGCGTGGCTGTTTCAAGAGGGGTCTGCGACGGTTAGAAAATATATCTGTACTTGTATGCTTCTGTGAAATTGCTGAACAACATGTGTGTCATAAACCTTGCTAGTGAGAGTACTAGGGAAGATTACCTCTGCTTGGATGAGTGAGTCAGAAGAGATTGTATTTTATGTGTGCCCTGTTGTATTCCTTGGAGAGGGTATAAGGTTGTATACCTGCACATGTGTAGTATAGAGAGGGAAAGTGCTCAGCTCCAGCTGTCATAAGTGTAACGCTCGCACGAGAGGTTTACGGCGGTGAGATTGAATACCTAAGCTCCTATGTGTGCTTGTGGAATCTTGCGTGCGACATTCCACGGCCCTCCTATTGCGGCTGTGCGTTGTCAACTGTTCTACCCCGTGCCTGTGCTATATAGTGTCCTCGAGAGTAGTTACCTGTTGTGTGTGTCATACGAATAACCCCCTTCCCAATCATCTGGCTTTGTGCACGTGCCTCTTTTTTTGCGATAATGAGTACCCCAGCCCACAGTTGTCTGTCAACTCTCTCGCCGTGCAGGATGCTGTTGAACGAAAACAGAGCAGCAGATAACAGCCACGCAATCTATGCTTGATTCATCCATTAGTTGTGTATATCACAACTACATATATGGAATCCTGAATGTATCCTGTTATATTTAAGATCTACAAGGACCTACTACAAAATAAACGCATTCCATGTTCGTCTTTATACCGCAGGCGCGACGCATTGGTGGAGGATTACGAATTGCTACACGAAGGGTTGCGCTCGGGTAAGATTTGTCGAATAGATATCGCACACTTGACCAAGCTGTAGAAAGCAATTGTTTATATTGGAATTGTCGTGTACCCAATTACAATATTTCCACATTGTATGTATGTTCTACTTTTACGGATTTAGTATGTGTATATATATATATATATCTTATGCTCATATGTATGTACGCTAAATCGCATGTTGTGCAGATAACAGTTCAACTGATGAGCTCTCGCCGACGACCAGCATCACAGACCTGTCCACCGATTTCTTGCAGCGGGTTCCGTCGCTGTCGCAGGCCGTGCCTTCATTTGATGACTTTATGACATTTATGAGCGGCTCAGATAGAGAATCACAGACCCAATTGAGAGAAAAGCGGAAGCCGAAAGTGAGGTGTGTGGTGGGCAAAAGTGGTGCCTGAGTTGTATCAATGTGGAATGGTGGTTTTAAAAGCAAAAGGGACAGCTTGTCGAGGGTTACAAATAGTGCTTGTATAGTAGATATGCGCATTTAACACATTTTATTAGACGCCTAGTCCTCGATACCGTTTTCTTAACAACAACTCTCGAGCTGGTCAAGAGAGGGCAATAGCCCACACAGTGATGGTTAACATTTGCGCGCTAATACGAACTGTGTGTATGCAAAGCCAGGAGACTTGGTATTGCCTAGACTTATACTGCATATAGTCCAAACAGCAAACGTGTATGACGTTGCCCATACTTATCCTGCAAGTAGTGTGAGTGGCGCGAACAGTACGCAGCTAGTTTTGAATTGGTGTGCTCCGCCACACATGTGGCGCATTCCGTGGTTCGTGCGTATAAGGAGCACCTCACAACTGCCTATTTTCCTTCATTTTAAAACGCTGCTATACTTGCTTGATAGTTCGCCTGACCTACTATCTAGCACTACAAAGTCTTCGTCGTGGCCCATCCGCTGCTATGATATCTAGGTGATGCGACAGATATTTTTCCCATTTAAGTTACTTAATATGTTTCATGGATCAATCCCGCAGACGGGACTACTTAGCACCTCGTACTGTTACAGGTCATGGCATTCGATGTTGCTGGCAAGCACGCTGCACCACTAATTACAGTCATATGTATCGAGATTCCTTTTAAACGCCGCAATGTGTGGGCGCCGTTAGGGTTCAATATATCTAGCATGGTCGTTGTCACCTCTCTGTTGTGATGCGAATGTAGTTTCAATCTATACACTATAATCCTTCTGTGCATATTTTACCTGCAGATACTCGCCTCTTCTGGCCAGTTTTCTCCTGAAGTACTCGATACAGGCGTACTACGACCCGCCCGATCGAGACACTGCGTCTGGCTGGGGCAAGATCAACTCTGAGCTGTCTGTGGTGGGCTTCATCAGGTGAGAAAACTCAGCATATGGTGAAAGCCTAACATGAACACCAGAATTGATTTGTGTAGATGTGTGAGGACCCATGTACATACAGGGCTCTGCTTGTCAGATGTACTATGTGGATGCCCAGATCCCACTCGGCTGAATGAACCTTATCGTTCAGTATAGCATGTGAATTTTGTACACTGCTGTGCTCACATAACTGCCGAGCAGCCTCACGTTACATACGTGCGCGAAGACATGCCACATACAATGCAGGAAATTGCGCCACCACGGGCAAAGCCTCTACTTAATCTCTACATTTCGATTGCACTTTCGCTCCAAAAAGTCATTGTGTTGCTTGTCTTACTTCCAATTCCCATGAGTTGCTATGTGTGAATTTTTCGTTAGATGCAATGAAGTGGAAGGTGTGAGCCTTGTAGTGGCGAGCAGCAATGCGTCACTGACTCTGAGCATGTATTTGTATGACGTTTCTGCTGCAGTGACAATGCTGTGGATTCGCACGTGCTTGTTGCGCGGCGCGACCGGTTCCTGGTGGTGGCGTTTCGGGGGACCAGCTCGAAAGTCAACTGGGAGAGCAATCTCAAGTTTAATCAGGTGTGTGAACCGGTAAAGTATACAATCAGTGGTGTGTGGTTGGATGTGCGGTACTTGATCTCAATCGATATATTGGGAGTTTTGCAAATGCGAGAACTCATAGCTTCGCTACGTTTTGAAAAATGTTTCCACAAAAAGATTCACCACATTCTAAGTAGGGCATAAGCCTTCGGTGCTAGCGGGTATTCTGATAAATTCAGGTGTACATATAATCAACTCGTGTAGATGTATATCATCATCCAAGAGCTAATTCATACAAAGGCTTCGCCCACTACGCAGCACCGTAATTGTATAGAGGATCTGGCTCTGTCAAGCACCCTCAGTTGCGCTTCCCTTTCGTCATGTCATATTTACGGAATACGTCTCTTCTTTCACCCCGCACGCAGATGCCATTGCCCGTAGGCATAAACCCTACAACAACTATGTCGTCCTATTTCGTGCCGAAAGTGCATAGAGGGTTTTGGCTGGCTTACGCTGGTCTCAGAGAACGCTTGTTGGATCTCCTCCGTAATTATCTCACAGACCCCATCAATTGTTATGAGGTGATTGTGGCGAGAATGTATACATGTTGATACTTATGTGCGTCTAAGTGATTGTCGTGTGCTGATAAGAACGGATGAATTTTAGTGGGTGTTAGAACCTCGATAAATTTCAGCATAAATTCGACCCAACGTTATGCCCAAGTACTTCCGATTATGTAATATGGTTCGAAATTGACCCACCACTATTCTCTGTCAGCCCACCAGAGCACAACAGCACGCCAAAACACCAACTTGAAATCACTCGGCCGTAGTAAATTTCTTCAGGGATTCAATTTACGATTCGGGTGTCTCCGCTCCAATATCACCCGTTGGCGGGGACTCTCCAACATGCTGCTTTAAGAACGTGTACTTGCATCCTAAATTTTCTAGACTACTCAGTCGCTTTTGAAAACCTCGCACGTCAGCCGATCACCCCATGTTGTATATACTTTGCCTTCTACCATTTGGTGTTTCTAACCATATTTGTATCCACTCCCACTCTGCAACTCGCCCAGGTAAACACGGGAAGTGGCCGGATGCAAAGTGATCTGGAACTGCTCGTGACAGGCCATTCGTTGGGAGGTGCGCTAGCGACATTTGCGGCGTATGAGCTGTCGCTACACTTACAGATGTCTGTGCAACTGTACACATTCGGCTCTCCACGCACAGGCAATCAGTTCTGGGGCATGTACTTCGATGCGGCCGTGCCCAATTCGTACCGTGTGGTGTATGATGGTGACATTGTGACAGGTGGGTAGGTATATCTCCGGCCAGTGCAGAACACTTTGAGTTGAGGTCAAAGATAGTATAGACAATATGAGATCAGACTGGTTTTGAAACCTAAATTTCGATGCGGCCGTACTTGTAAAGTGTGGCGTGTGATGGCGACATTGTAACGGTGGGGAAGTATATCTAGAGTCAGCATAGATTACTTTATTTCTGGTCAAAGGTAGTATAGACCAGATCAGATCGAGACATTGTTGGGATATGTATTTCGATGCGGCCCTGCCAAATTTTTACCGGGAGAGTGTATGATAGTGGCATCGTGATAGGATGGTAGGTATACTTTGTGTCAGTACAAATCGATTTCAGATGAAAGATAATATAGATTGCTGCAGATTAGATCAGTTCGGTTCGTGGGCACGTGCGACGATCGACCGCTCTGACCCCTTATCGCGTTTTGTATGACGACGGCAAAGTGGCAGGTGAATATGTAACATCTAAGTCAGAGCCTATCAGTCAGACTATAATTAGGAGATCAGGAAGAAAGTTTATTTCTGGACTTGTAGTGTTATGCGGTATTTAGTCGGTGCCTATATGCTGATAGTTCTGCTCCTTCACACATCGTGTCATGTAAAACCGCACCAGTTTTCGTAAGTATTTGTCCATTCGTGTCTATATGTCGATTGCTGACTTTGTCCGCCAGATGGATAAATCTAGGTTGTTCATGATTTGACCTATACTGGTATTGAGTGTAGCTTTGTATCTCGAAGTCTGACTGAACTGCATACCATTGCCAACTTTTCTCGATCAAACGCGACCACAGGAGTGCCCATGAAGATTCTTCTATACCGACACGTGGGCACACAGGTGGTGGTAGAACGGCATGGGAACACTATTATTTCCCCCACATTCGTAGAGAGAGTGTTCAGGTCTCGAAGGTATTTGTTCGTTGTATGTGAACTGGCCGATTAGTACTGTGTAAGTGAGGGTTTGGTGGTGATATGAACCTGTGCATTGTCATACGTGTGGAGTCAACTGCAGATCTAGCTGTGAATTAGAGTTTTCTCGTCAGTCAGACTTGACATGTACCCCAATCTGTTGATTGTTGCATAACTTAGACTATTTCGACGCATGCTAACACATTTTAAGCGAGATCACAGCGCTGGTGTAGATCGTGACACATCAAATACTTAATCTAGCACAACATGCCACTTGATATATAAACTCTGGACAGTCGCAGTACTCGGGAGATGCTGTAGCTCATCTAAGCCCATTGCACCACTCACGCGCTCTCACGAAATTCATCGCACTTGCAGGAAACGAGGAATCAATGCGCATATGTGCGGCAGTTACGAGGCAGCTCTGACCTCATGTGTGCGAGAGATAATCGGGTACTTGACCGAGAAGGATTCAATGGACGATATATCAACACTGCGAACGATGAGGTATAGTGGATCTTTCACGGATGGTGAGCTGTGCATGCTGGCTGGTTTGAGACGAACGCCTGTGACAGGTGGGTGCAATTGTTTTCTTTTTTTGTTTGTCTATGTTTCTGGGTTGTCGGTTTGGGAGTGCTCGATGTTGCCTGTGTCCTAAGTAGCGTGTTACATGTTTTCTAACAGTCAATTGATGATCATACGTGGGCGCGTTTTCATTCCACGTCGAATAACCACACACAGTGTCTTCTATCTGCAACACCTAACATTGGATCGAATAATGCAAACCCACTTGAGCAGTGGAGTGGCGATTGAACTCAATTGTATTACATTGCTATCACCACAGAAGACGACTTTGAGATGGAACATGCTGGTCTTTCGCCCAATGCATACCGATCAGCACTGCACCGTACACGCGAAGAAGAGCGGCATGAGTTGCAGGTATGTGCTATTACATATACTAGTTTTATTTTTTTTGTAGTTATATACTATTCGTTCTCGACCACTTAATTGTTGGAGAATGTGAGGTGTTTGTTATTCATGCTCCTGTCCCCAATCTGGTGCATGCGACTGCTAGTATATACACTTGCTATCTACAATCACCGAGTTGAACGGATTTGTTTCAATCTCCATCGGTGAAGAAGAGTTCGAATCTCACGCTATTCAAAAAAAAATGAGATTTATTTATCATTAAACTTCTCATCTATGTGCATATCTGCTCGAAAGTCCTAAGATTGTGAGCTATTTAGATGCAAGCGAATCAAGTGTTCTTCATCTATATCACATGCACTGTGTCTACTGTGCATTAAACCAATGATTCATACCCTCTCCCACCCAATGCTTCGACAGGAAGTTGTACGGAATGCCGAGGCCTCATGGTCCGTGTACCGGATAGTCACACAACGCATCACGCGGTCTCTGAATTTAATCCGCAATATGTTCAGCGGTGAAAATATAAGTGACTATGACCAGCTGTTGCCCATGGACACATGGGATGAAGACAACGATAACATAGCCAAGCACACACCGATCAATCTCAATGACCAGGAGAGGGACTACGACGACGTCGAGCTCGACAGCGACCGAGTCCATCATGATTACCTGACTGCCACACGCACCTCATCGGACAGCACGCGGTTTAGTGAACGCTCGTTGTCAGCGAATAGTAACAGCGAATACAAAATGAACCACATATCCGTGTCGGTGCCGCACCAATTAGATATATACGATGACAGGCTTGGGTACACCGGTAGCAGTAGCAGTAGACCGCCCAGTGCCATTGGCCACGACCAACGGCACACGCAGAGCCGACCACATGCCGTGCCCGATATGAGTTTATTGGGAAGTCAACGACATGCACGCCCGGCCTCCTCCTTAAAGAACCAGGTGTGTTGTGTGAGTATATGTAAAGTTGTGGGCTTTGCGATTGTACCTGCAAATGCATATGGCTGCGCTTGGTACTTAAGCTTTTATAGGCTTGTACGCTTCGGCCCGGTACATCCGTATGAGGTAGGATTTGTGGCTTTCAGTGTGAGTAGAGACATGTTGCTGAGAATGGGTATGACACCCCTCGAAATCCCTGTCAGGGGAGATTTGTTTTTACCGCTATCGGGATGCTCTGCAGTACGCTGCTGATAGATGTGCGTACCCTGACATTCCCTGGTGCTCGTAGTTAGCGCAGACAACAGTCCGCTTAATAGCACCGATTTCAGATGCATAAGGGTTGAGATGATATGATTGTGCAAGAAATCGCCTATGTATTATGAAACTTTGTTGCACTACATCCGCCGAAACGATGCCCTTTCGTTCGCTTGTTATTTGTTGCTCTTATAGTCATTAGGAATATATATTCCAAAGTTCAACAAAGCGAGTCGCGTCTAGGTGATCTCTAGTAGGCATTCACGTTAGCTTACTCGCTCGGGGCTTCCATAGAGTAAGTTCTCATCCCAAGTTTTTCGCAAAAAAAAATTTACAGGCGCCAGATACTGGAGGACGAATTCCTGCTTGGAAGCGTTCAGAGAGTGAGGAAGGCTACTCAGAGCGCTCCGTAAAGCTCTTTTCAAGCACCTCTATGGGACATACGCCCACCTCAAAACGTATGCTCCGATCCTGAATGCATTTACGCAGAAATTTGTGTCGTTTCATTTGATGACTTAATGTTCCTTGATACATTGCCCGCTCTTTATGTGTCCTAATGGGTTTGAGAAAACGCTCGCATGCGCAATTTAATGATATGCATGTGCTTTTTAATCAGTTATTGTATACAGCATACATTGAGACATGTATATGAATCACATTTTTTAACCTTCCACCCTCCTCTCCCTTCCCCTTCCTCGCGTTCTTTTGCGCATGTATACACTCTGCTGATGCTTGTGTTTTTGATTAACTATTGCAGGAGCAAGTGAAGCCTACTTGTCGCCGCATTCAGGGTTTGCTGCTTCGAATAGGTCATTTGCGAACTCCTCGAACAGCTCGTTCGTTAACTCTGTCGTCTCCCGTCGATGTGGATCACATAAAATGTTACGATGGCCATGCAATCCACTAGAGCTGAGCGAAAGTGATAGCGAGTATGTGATATTCGTACCGCGGCTGTGTTGCGGTACATAGACACGGTAGCGCGAAAGTAGGCAACAATGACTAGTGTTTAAGCCAATCGTGTGCATGAGATACGAATCTGAGGTAATAAGTATGACCACGCGTGTGTATGTTGGCTGGTTTTCTGTAGTACGTGTATATTGGTAGCGCATGTATACAGGTGTATATACTTAGCCTGTACATCAGATATGGGAATACTATTTCTACGAACTTGTAGTACTGATGATCGGAAATTGAACTTCGTCACAGAGCCAGTATACGATGTAGTACACTAGCAACCGGAATGCACACCAATCCTGACTTTGTATCTTATCAAATACCAAATCTTTTTACAGGCCAGAGGCTGATGAGCACGATTCCATTTTAGAGTCAGAAATACCACGCAGCTCAGAGTTCTCAACTATGCCAAACGGCAGTCGAACCTTAAGCCAGGGTAAGAATGGTGAAATGCAATGCTTTATAATCTACACCACTTTCATCGCCGTTGTGCGCTTTTCCTAGTTTTTCATGGTGACGTTGTGTAGCACAAATGCTCCAGTACTGTCCTCATACCCCATTGTATAGAAATAAGATTTTTCTGTTGGCAATCTTTGACTGGTAGCGTTTCAAGTCGTCTCATTCTCTACTATAAGAGTTTCTAATCATTGTGTTTTGTCGCAACGACAAAGTAAAAGGTCAACATCTGTACACTGGATGGGCGTGAACATAAACCATCACTTTAAGATGGCAGTAAGATTGAGTCGTAATTTTCGTGTGATTCTATCCGCACACCGACAGCTGGCACTGACTTCTTGCACAATCTTGCGAATTTCCGAAGTGACAGCAAAGAAGAACAAGGTGAGCAAAAGGTTACAGAGTGTATTTGTATAGCTGTATGATTTGGATGCAACTTGCTAATCGAGTCGATTGCAGCAAATTGATCTCTAATAGAATGTTCAGCACAATGCACTATGTTACACGAATTTGTATTTCTTTGTTCTTTCTCTACTGTGGTTTACCGCAGAGAATACCGGCAATATGCATCGTACTACAAAGAGGCCGATTCATTGTTGCATGTTGCTTTTTTTGTGATCTATCCACAGCACGGAGCTTAATTTGCAATATGTTGCCCTTATAGTAGGTGATTTCTGAGGAGTTTGAAAGATGTATTTCTGTGCATGGCCCATGACTTAATTTCTTGTTTGGGTGACATCTTACCACACTCGATGCAGAATTAGGTGTTAATTGAATCGCCTGAGGCTGTTCGTTTGTACAATGGAGTTTGATGCTGTATTTATACCTGCAACATTGAGTTTTCTTTCGGATGAAATCCGCTATTACGTATTTTACCCGACACATCCTTATTATTGAACCAACAACCATCATGCAAAGATTTGGATGATTCAGTCAACCCGGAGGCAAAACTTATGGCCGGTGATGATTGGGACCTAGACAACTTCGATAGCACGGGTGGAATCGAAACACAAGCAAGCCATATTCGACCAGACATCGACATGGATTTGTCTACATTGAATTGGAACGGTGATGGGGAGACAAAGGACTCGCACGCAGGCGATGCAAATTCATAGCAATACGCCAGCATATAATAAAATCAAAGATTAGTATAAAGTATTGATTTTGACTAAGCCATCGGCCGAGGTTTATATTGGCAGGTACATGAGATAGTCCTTCTGCACCGCTGAAGGAGCAGTGCCAAGAATTCTGAAGAAATGATATGAAGACTATTTTTTGACAAGACAATATACTGACTTGCCTGAATTTGGTGTGCAGACGCGCAAACTTTCGCGCAGTAATATATTTCGAAAGCTCATGGACGTTAACTGATTGACGTTGGCAGCTCACACGCTGTTCACCATTCTCACCGCCATTATTCCTTGCGGCCAGAGTCGATATCTGACCGAAGGATATCGTTACTACTCGGCCTCGACTTTCAAAGCTCACGAAGAGCATATCATTAAGAGTTATTAGACAGCAGGCAGAGATCGCGTGGGCTTAAAAATAGGGCTGTCTCGTCGTGCGGTGTCTTTCACGATGTTCAGCCTTATTTGTTGAGGTCTACTGCCCGACAATGCCGGCTCTGCATTGTAGGTATTTCGGTGACTGCTCGAGTGAACCTATAAAAGGGCTATTGGGGCAATTGGAGTGTGATTCAAGAACTGCTGGGCGATCTGAGCGGACACTCGCGCCGTATTCGCCTCACAATGCAAGTTATTCTTTGCGTAGCAGCCGGGATTCCTACCCATCGCCAAAACAAGTGTAGTCATGATGCAGACATTGTTCAACGCAGTGGAAGTGGTGAATGGGCAGCGGCGGAGACAATCTCAAATAGGTTTGCAAACGATCTCTCTTGCTAGTCTACCATATAGAGCTTGACTTCTCAGAGGGTGCCAAAAAAGTGCAACTATTTTTATACCAAATCAGGGTAGAACTTGTAGATATTTTTCCTCAGCTTTGCTTCCATGCCCGGTTCGTCGTTAATTAGTTTGACGAAGAGTTGGATCGTGAGCCAAAGGACAATTTAAAGCAGATTGTTATGAAGTCAATCGTATCCACCGCAAATCCGAATGGGAGTCACTATATAAAAAAGGAACAGGTTTGTACCGTATATATATATATATATATACATATATATGTATATATGTATATATGTACATATGTATATATGTATATATGTATATATGTATATGTGTATATATGTATCTATTTATATATGTATATATGTATATATGTATATATGTATATATGTATATATGTATATTTATGTATATATATGTATATATATGTATATATGTGTATATATATATATGTATATATATGTAAATATATGTATATATATGT